GAATATTTGTAGGACGAACAATTAAATATTTAGATTATGACCTTCGATAGATATGCGGTCATGTAACGTGTTCTTACATTCTGGGCACTGTATCTGACAACTGAAAATCTGCTTCACCGCACAAACTTACTGACGCAAAGCTAATCTCTACAGGCATCACACTGTACTGAGTTATAATCTCCTTATCTTAGTTGAGGAGAAATGTAGTCGAAAATCCTGAAGGGAAGAGACAGCTTGCATTTTTCGTACGAACCAAACCTAAGGTTGGATCCGTTTATAATTTCGGAGGTTAGCCATTTAGACACACCTCGTTGTTCTGTGGAAGTAAACGTCAATTATCATTATTAGCCTTCCACGTCTTAGGCCCACTGGTCTGCTTCTGTCTGATGCCAGCTTTTGTAGGGTCTTCGCCCATTTTACATCTTGTTCCTTTAAGATGCCTTTTTAATATTATCCTCCTTTCTTCGCTTAGGTCTTCTGTTTAATTGCCCATAAAAGTTCTTACTTAAACATAATCTTGACTGTTGATAGTTTGAGATGAAATTTTGCTTTATTAAGCTCAGGTACAATTACTCTGTGCGACTGGACACTGTATCGGAGGTGACTGCTCCAAATTTAACGACACATTCCGTCTAACTCTATCTAAGGGACCCAACAGAGTAGGTACCTCTCACCTGAAGACGGGGAGAGAACCAGCCTCCGAAACGTCGTGATCTTAAAAGAACAGACGATGGAAAAAGTCCTGATAACGAACAATTTTAAGTGTAGATAAATGGACCATTAAGGGAGTCTGGCTTTAGATTGTGGAGTTCAGACTCGTAAGTAGATACACAGGGTTCAGAGGGTCACTAACAGTTCCCAGCTACACTGTAACCTCTGGGAATATCATGTCTTTTTTCAATTAATTTGATGACTTCTGCCCTACTTGACTGATTAAATGACTGTTTGCTGGAGGACAAATTTTGTGTGCTTACTGTTGATTTGAAATTTGTTCCTGTCTTTTCTATGTTTCTGGTATATGCTATTCTACTACATTATGTGTTAAGTTGGTAGCACAGTGAAAAGATGGTAAGGGACGTGGATCTCGGCACCTCAGTCATTGGGATCGTGGGTTTGAATCCAACTTGAGTCATAGATGTTTGTCTTTCTGCGTCGTGTTGTCCTGTATAGGTACAGACCTTGCAATGGGCTGACACACTGTCAAACAGATCTTTGTTAATCCGTTCTGCTGAATCAATCTAACACATATCTCATTAATTATTTTCAGGTACTATTAATTCTCGTACATCTTCTTGAAGTATTGGAAGCAGCAGCAAACCCAACAAGCAGCAAAAATGGGCGAGAAAGTATCCTCCACTTATTTGTCCCAACTCAAGGCAATGATCATCAGGAACCTCCTTCTTAAGAAACGAGAGAAGAGAAAGACTATTGCTGTAAGTATTCTATGAAACTGCAAATCTTGGAACAAAGGTAAGGGGGTGCAAAATAAAATCATGTTGTCTGCTTCACAGAACTTCGAATCATCACATCGCCCAGTTTTATTCTTATTTGGTTGCGTATCATCGGATAATAGACAACTCAGGGTTCTAAATGGAATACTAATTTACACATTTTTTAAAATTGCTTTCTAATTGATTTGTTAATTTCTTCTAACATCGCGGATCTTAGCCCAGCAATGTGTAGTACCAGCATCACATGCAGGGAATTTGTTAGTGGACAACTCACAAACCTAAAGTTTCTATTGTTTTCCATGAAATGATTTGGATTTTGTTTAGTCTTCTTTATTCCTTTGGAATGTGTGCGCGTGCACGTGAGTGGGAGAGAGAGAGAGAGAGCTTTTATTAATTCACATATTTTGGTACATAAATGTTTACTCGTTTCTGAGACAGCTTCAAGATCTGGAAATCTGTTTTTTTATTCATACATTGCATGAACCTGTTGAGTAACCTTGAATCTTCCAGAAACCATGAAATTTATGGCTACGGCAGGGCACACAGTCTTGGGGACATTTGTAGGTCTATGTTCAAAGCTGACTTAGATTTGTTAGTTAAGACAGTGCATGTTGGCCAACTTTTAAATACTTTAAATTGGATCACTGTTGTGGCATTCATCTGAATTCTGCACTAACAGACAATTTGAGTTGGATGTTCTTTGAATCTCTAAGCAGCAATACGAATTTTGTATATTCTGCTGCATTAAGTTTGGCAACTATTAGGGATTTTGAATAGTGTATTTTACTTCCAGTGAGTGTAAGTTTTGCTGGTCGAGCATTAATTTTTGATTGTCCATGTCAAAAATTCAAAAAAAGTATCTTCATGTACTTATTTACGATTACACTTAGTTTTGTAGTCAGATCTATGCGTTTTGCATATCCTTATGTACGACTGCGTTTGAATTCAAATAATAAAAAGTGGTGCATGGAATGAGAAGAAAATTTGACCACTCAACAGAGGGAATTAATTTCTTGTTTCTACGCATGATTTATCAAGCAGTCAAGAATACTTACTTTTTTTTTGGTAACATTGTATGTGGTATTTGTGAAATTTGACCAAGTAATGCCTCTGCTCCTGTTCTTGCTAAGGATTATAACCAAAATCATTTTGTTTTATTAAAGTGTTTCTGTCACTGTATTCACTGTTTTGTGATCATAATCACTGCCATACTGTGTGTTTGCAGGAAGTATTTCTGCCCCTTTATTCACTAGGAATTTTAATTGTGATCAAGATCATGATACCAAACCCAAACTTTCCTGTTATGAGCACTCCACGGGGAGAGGCAGACCTATTTGAGCACTTTCAGCAATTCAAGAATCACACCATAGCCATCGTGCCAAACACCACTGAGACACAGGTAAGTACATCAAATATACAAGTTAGTGTAGTCCTGGGGAAAATATGACGTGAAATAAATAAGTCTGGCATGCTGCTGTGCATATTAATACGTTGTTTAATAAACTTTTGCATTGCATTACATGAATAAATAAAATGGGAATTTTTAAGGAAATTCAAGTTTGGAGTCTCCAGTACACGTATTTTAGAGCGGTCCACAGCAGATTTAGTTTAATATGAACCTTCATATCTTGAGAACACCAAACAGAGTTTCAGATCCCATTATAAATTAATTATTAATAATAGTGTTGTATTTTACGTCTCTTGGTATGCTTATACATATGTATGGTGGTAGCTACTTAATGTGATGACCACAAAATTTTTGTTGTGTGGCTTAAAGTTATGTGTTCAGTTGGTAAACATTTCTGATTCATTCTGCATTATGTTCTCTTTTGATATCAGATAATCAGTCATATATGTCACATTTTACAAATACATGATAAAATATGTCCATATACACACACACACATCATTAATTCAACAAACATATTTTTAAACTTCTACAACTTCTAAGCACTTCTCTGCAGTAAACTGGCAACTACAGATATATTTTAATCATTTGACCAAACATGTTTGAAGTTCAGTAAAATAATGAAGTTTTAAGCTTAAATGGTATAAACTACATAGATACAAAACAAAGTAGTTGTAAGAACAGTACCTTCAGATTACAAGAAAGATAGTAACAGATTATATTCAAATGTAGAATGCTTTGATTATATAAGCGTGAAAATAATTGATATGCAAACCAGTGTTCAGATGAGGTTTCCGTATTTCTAATAATAATGTTCCTGTCACAGCATTTCCTGGACAATGTGAATCACCTGTGGTTGACAATGCACCTCGACCCAGGGCTCCATCCAATCAACTTCATGATGTTTGACACACATGATGATCTGCTTACAGCATATTGGAAGGAGCCAGCGTCTATACCCGTTGCTGTTATCTTTGAAACGGATGATCCTGTCAAAGGAATTTTAAAGTAAGCATAAGATCATTAAAGACGAATCTATATTGTATTTTATAATACTATGGATATTGGTGTAGTTACCAGGATTACAGGAAATTTTAAGCTGTTCCAGTAGGGTGTAACATAATTTTGTGAGGCTGATAGTATATCATAATAAATAATAGTTAAAGCTGAGAACATCAGAGATGAAGCATGAGTTTATAAAGCCTACAGTTTTTAGTAGAGTTGCTGTGTGTGAAATTTTATGTATAATTCCCGAAACATGATTACAGAATTTCTTTCAGAATTGTCTTAGAAATCGTGTTATGAAGTTGTGTCACAGAAGCCCACGGTTTAAGAGTAATATGAGTTATAAGCCTATAGTTGCTTTTTATTGGGAATATGAATTATATCAAGATTATTATAGCAGATAAAGTCATAACATTGCTCTGTGTATTTATATCTAAATTAGTAAATATTTTAAAATACATTTACATAGAGTAATGCTGTTACATGTGTTCACACATGGACATTATTTAATAAAATTATTGTAATTAATGGATAAATACATCGGACATGGTATCAGCACCAGTGTGGTTAAGGCAGAATTGTGAACGTGAAGAAGCCCCGATATATTTTCCTTTTTATTAACTTCCTATAATATCACTACCCAAATATTTCTACCTGGGACAATGAGTGTACATTGTGTAGTTTCATAGTAAAACCCCAAATTGAATTCTTTGAAATAACATTTGAAAGAACTGGTCTATTGTTTGTTACTTTTTGGAACATGCTGTCTACACACATCAGTCTTCAGTGTTTAGTTGTTCCTCAGTTCCTCCAGGTAGGTGTTGACACAGTGTGTTAACATGGGCAAAGACTATTTCCTTCCATATCTCTTTTTTTTAATTCATTACTCACATTTAACCAGCAGATTGATGTATGTAGTTGGAAACTATAGTTAAACCAAGAATAACCAGGTTGGATATGAACTGAGCAGTCTCTGAATACAAGTCATGTGGATTTCTGCTGAGTCACCTTCCTTGGTCTTAGCAGTGTTAAGAATTATCTGACTTCACTCATCATCTCCACAAACAACACAGCCCATGTTGATAAAAAAAACAAGTAAATTCATGTATTTCAGTCTAGGAACAATACAAATTTGGTTTAATTCCAGCTTAGTGAGCCATTATATTTCATCCTTGTCATTTGATTAAGACAGAATTGAAATACTTGACCTCCCCATGCTGCATTACTTTTATGCATTTTGTTCAAATAATGGATAATGCGATGTTAGGCCAATGACTTGTATCAGGGCATATTTCCAATCACAAGTTTGTTGGAATGAATGAATTTTAGCATGCTTCACGCAATTAGTGTTTGGAGTGCATTATGAGAGGAAAATAGATCAAAGGCATGCAGATATGTTAAAAATATGTGCTGAGGTAATTACTGCTTTCTTGTGAGATATAAGCCAGAGACCATGAAGACAATGTGCTGTGTTTGGTTATTAGGTAATTGGTTTAACTACAATCTGCTTCAGGGAATTTCTGAAACAAGATAGACATTACAATTGCGCTGGCGATGTTTGTCTGTACTTCCCTTAACCCATTTGAGTACTCAGACAGTAGAAAACAACAAATTATAATCTGCTTTACATAAAACGGGAACGCAGATACACTCAAATTGCTGATTGGTATGAAATATAGAGGCACAAGTTTTCGTAATCATACTAACTAACAAAGGAGAAATATTGACAATTTGTATATAAGAAACATCCTGCTTAAAGTTTGCAAAGATCGAGTAAGCAGGATTAAAAATGATGACAGTTTAAGAGTAGGTTAAAGTCACAGTATCATGATATTACTTATTTTATAGACTTTACCATGTGGAATATATATAACACTTTTAACTATTCTGAAGCAGAGTTTCAAATTTACCATATGCTAAGAAGAGAGTACAAATCATGCTTGTAGTTGAGTCATCATGTTTTGGCCTAGTATTGTGTACTTGAGTAGCCAGATCTCCAAAGCTGAAATAAATGACAAGTTATGTGCCACAAAGTGGTTTGTGAACAGAGAACCCTGATGCTGTGTCAGAGGCTTGAGTCTGGATTGGTGCCAGCAGTAAAGAGGTCAATACCTACAGGGTGCCACTGGACTCAGTGTATCGTGGTCTGAGTATCTGCTCTGCAAGAAAATTCACATATTATGCACTGGACTATTCTTATTCATTCCAAGAGAATTCTGGAATAGTGTAGTAGCAAGGCCGTGCTTACTTTTTGAACCTGTATATTATTACATTGTCTTCATTTGCTCTATGGCAGTAGAATTTGGTGTTCAGTTAGTGTAAATTGGATCAGAAAGGAAATATCTATTACTTTGAAGAAACATATATATATATAGTTAAGACTGTAAATGTGTACTTCAGTGGAGTACACATATTTTACATATATGCCCTTTTCAAAATTACATTAATTTTTATACTAATTTATTGCAGATGTAGATCGTTTAATTTATTTTGTCTTGTCCATCTTTATCTGAATTTTCATGCCAGAGATTTGCAAGATATAAGTTTATTGTTAAAAAATGTAGTTAGAAATAGATTAATATGTTATTCTGTTGGTATTTTTAAGTATAAATTGTTTAAAATGAACGTTTTTTATTATAATATCTGTATTTTCATTATGTACCAGTACCAGTGAGTCATCTTGGAGAAAATTTTGCAAGCTGAATTTGAGCTTCATGTAAAGTAATGACTGTAATGTAATGATTTAAATAACAGTTATTGGTGTAGATTCCAACACAAAATCTCGTCAATTAGTTTTAGATATGAAATGTGCATTGACAAACAAAACATATTTTTCATAATTTATAATTATTTTACTTACATCCCTAAAGACATTTTTGCAGGTATACCGAGCTTAATAGAAAACAGTTTTAAATGAATAATTGGATTTTTATTATTTGTGATTTAAGAAGCGTTCTAAACTACTCTGTCAAAGTCTCCAGCTTCCTTTGTCACCATACTACAGTAAGATCTTACTGTTTAAGGTATGAAATCAGGACAAATCCTTCTTTTGTGGTAACACCTTCAACAACAGAACTCTACTCATCACCAGCATCATGTCGAGAGAGCGAAGGTCATTGGAGTGGAGTTTTCCCTATAGAAACTGGAGAGAGCTGTCCAGTGAACCAGTACTATTACTCTGGTTTTGTGGCCATCCAAGCTCTCTTTGATTTCACCAAGATCAGGGTGGGTTTCTAACTTTCTTGCTGTTCACTCAATATATGAGATACTTGATCTGTATGGAATACGAATTTTTAAAATTATTGCTTTGTCCTAGAAATGGATCTCAGAATGTTAAATGTGAATTAATCTAACTGGAGTAGTAGAAGAAAGAGTAAATTTTCTCCATTTAAGTACTTTAAATGAGGAATACTCTTATTTATACAAAAAAATTAAAAGTTCAATAATTTATAAAGAAACATACTTATGCAGTTTATAATGTTTATTTGAGTGAAAAAGTTTAGTTACCTTGGCCTGGAATTGAACATGTGTCTCCTGTTATCCACACAAATGCTCTGTTTTACGTTCATCTACCATTTATCTTAGTGACAGCATACAGAAATCATTACCGAACCAATTCACATTTATCTTTAACTGACAGGACATTTATGACTGCTTACTTTTGTTTTCATTGTGCAGTTAATTTTATAGATAAAGAAAGTTAAAATTCTTACCAGTGAGTATAACATAGTTCATAAAAGTTTCAGTAAATTTATTTAATAGAATTTCTCTTTATTTTCAGTTGGACTCTGGTCAAATGGACATTGAAGTACCACACATCATGCTTGAACTGTTTCCAAAAGAGGCATACACTGGAGGTAAGTGGATATCAACATAAACAGATTGACTTCCTGATCTCTAGTTGAGTTACTTCCTCTTTGTATCTTAAGAAAGTTTAGAAATGCAAATCTAGCCAAATTGATTGTAAGGCTGAAAGTTATTTCCAAAAGTTAGGGGCCAGTATGTAAATAAATAAAAGATTAGAAGGTCAAATTATGCATTTCTCACCTTCCCATGCCTTTCCCATATCATCATTCTTTACTTGATAATCATGATGACACAGAGTGTACAAAAAGTCATTTGCAGTTAACCACTATCTGCCAGTGGTACATCATCACACTGCCAGTGTTGACAGGTTGTACAGTACTGCACAGTGATTTTTGAACTTACTGTACTTAGCCAAGGTGCAAATTATGGAGCTCCTCATATCACACTTTTTTCTCTTCGTCTGTTACACCCTGTTTTTTAATCCAAATGTTCTCATCAACATCTTGTTCTCTTTATTTATTTCATAATATTATTTCAGACTGGATGGTGGCATTCCGGGTTGTGATTCCACTCTATATGGTGATGGCACTATCACAGTTTATAACATATTTACTAATTCTTATTGTTGGGGAGAAAGAAAATAAAATCAAAGAAGGGATGAAGATAATGGGGTTGCGTGATTCTGTCTTCTGGTAAGTAAACTGTTGCTTTCTATTTTTTGCATACTTTGTTTATTCAGAATCAGCAAAACATATTTTTTTGTATTTCGAGTGCTTTACAGTTCTTGTCATAAAATACTTTCACATTAAATTGGTTAATAATGAAGAATGTGGGAAACAATATACTTTAGAATGAAGATACAAGCTGTATGCCAGTGAGATTTATGGTGAAGATGAAGATGTTGATGTTGGTCTTTTGTATTGTAACACCATGTTGACTTTTAGGCAGATACCACCATTTTAAAGGAAGATACTCCCTTCATCTTCAGGGCTGATAATGGAGGTAGTACATTCCTTCGAACTGTTGGCATATACCTACATGATATTATAATACAGGAGACTAACATTAACATATATACCAGTGATTCCAAATTATTTCTGCTGAGGCCCTGAACTAGCAACCAACTGCATTTGCTGACCCTCAGGCTCATTTTACAGGTACTTTTAAACTTTAAACAGTACTCAAATTTATTCTTTGCTGTTTGCATTCCTTATTAGCCTTATTCATTTTCTCAGATGAAAATCTGTTGCAAAACCACTCACAGTGCAGGAGTCTGAAATTATTTTTCTTGTATGTCAATAAGTATTCACCGTATCAAACAATGTTTGAAATAAAAGTTGTAGATTTCATTGAGATCTTTATTTCATTTTATGCACTAGTTATTTGTACAACAAGCTGTTTTTATCAGCCATATTTGTTTGTGCCATATAAAGAATATGTGCTCTTTAAAAACCAAAATTAAATTTGTGTGACAATGTTCACCAAATTTCATTGAATAATATCAAGTGGTTTGAGGGATGAAAATTTCAGGCAGAGACAAACTCCTCTGTATTCTTTGTGAATTCAGGCTTGTGAACTTAATTTGGGAACCACTATTATGTATGGTAATACTTTGTGTTATTAGGGCTTAAACCTGCCTGCTGTGTTTATTGCTTTTTTGTTCCATTGTGCTTATGTGTGTATGCACAGGTTGTCATGGTTTATCATCTACGGAGTATTTGTGCTGTTTCTGACCATCATCAGTTCGATCCTGCTGTTCACGCTGAGAGTCTTCCAGCACACCAATTTCCTGCTCATCTTCCTGTTAATCCTGCTGTACAGCCTCTCCATCATCATGTTTGGTTTCATGCTCACCCCCTTCTTCGACAAGGCGCGGGTAAGTTGACCTGCTTTACATAACTGCTTATAGCTAAAATGTTGTTCATTTTTTGACAGCTTCCTAGACTGTCATTTATACTTCATGTACCAAGTCATCATGTTAATCTGCTATGGTAAATAATTTCAGTGGTAGTGTTTGACAGATGAATTCATTAAGACTTCCATGTCACCTTAATTCATTAAGTTCTTCATGAACTTGCATCAGTTTGTTAGCATTAAATGCTATTTCTGAACCTATGTTGTTTCTGTCCTCTGGTCTTCTATTCTTCTTCCCAAGATATTTCCACTTTATGTCAGTCATATGATAGCCAGGCCTCTCCATCTATCTCTGTTCTCCTACAGCTCATCCTCCTCCTCCTTGCCCTCAGTTTCTTCTCATATTCTTCCTTCTATGTGACATCTTTTCTAACCTACTGCTCCCATCTTGATCTTCCTCTTCGCCTCCCTCTTTGGCTTTTCCTTTTACATTCACCACTTCCTTTGAGATTTTTTCTTCATTCTTTTTAAAACATGTCCATACCATCTTATTCTCTTATTTGTTAAATAGCCTTTAAAAGTGTTGTCCTGAAATTGTCTTTTATTTTATCACATCCTATATTTTCCCTCTAGTTTTTCTTTCTGTACCCCTTAAAATCCATTTCCAGGATATCATACACAAGTTGGTAAGGGGGAGTGTACAGCATGTACCATTGTATATTTCTTCTTCCTATGAGATAAAGAATTATTAAATTATTATATGACTATATTTATGCTTTTAATATGTTGTAGAAATCAGTTTATTGTTTCTACTTATTTCAGACTGCTGGAATTCTTGGAAACTTCGCAGTGAACATCATGAGTTTGCTGTACTTCATACAAGTATTTGTTGACGACTCAAGTTCTGTAGCCTTCTGGCTTGTTTCCCTCATCAGTTCAACAGGATTTGCTCTTGCCATGGATAAGGTAAACAGGACAGTACTTTACCTTCTCCTGACCATATTGGGACACTCCAATTTCAGGTTTTCCATCATCATTATTTCTATCACTACCACTACCAGACAATCAAACATCAATAACAACACTTTATGCAAATGCCTGAATGTGTGAGGGGGAATTGCCAGCGTGGGAATCCTTGCATACAGAATCTGATTTTATGTCATCACCCAGTCAGATAGGTGTCAGACAAGCCAGCCTACAGACAGGTCATTCAGCCCAGATAACTGTGGTGTTATTTTACACAATTCACAAAAGCTGAAGATCAAATTCTGGCAAATATGTTTAAATTTCTAAGTTTTTGTGAACATAATGTTGGACATTCTTTATATCACTTGAATATCAAGTATTTAAGGAAGAACTGTATCATGGAGATAGTAAAACATGTAACAATAAAGGTTTTATTGGTTTGCTTTTATGCCGACATTTTCATGTTATATTGACAAATGGGGTCCGCAGTGGCCGCGCGGTCTGAGGCGTGGGCCTTGTGCCGCTTGGTCGCTGGGACCGTTGGTTCGAATCCCACTCAAGCCATGGATGTTTGTCCACGTTTTTCTGTGTTGTGCTGTCCTGTGTACAGGTAGAGGCCTTGCGACGGGCCGATCCCTTGTCCAAGGAATCCTACCGAATGTCTATAGATTGAGCCAACGAAAAGTTGGGACCCACAGTGCTCAGGTCGTTCCCAGTTCCCCCAGTATATTAACAAATATAATTATTTCAGTATTCATATTGTACTGTAGCATGTCTCTTCTCTTCTCTCATTACCAGGCATTGGTGCTGGACTTGTCAGGGGATGGTGTGAGTTTTGACAATCTGTGGTCAGGCCCTGGGATTCCGTTTGGGGGCAGCTTAATCATGATATCATTGGATATTGTTCTATATGGTCTTCTTGCCTACTACTTGGACTGTGTTATTCCCAGTAAGTTATAACTTCATCTCTTTATTATTCATAAATAATACTTACTATTCTTACACCAGGTGATGCAAAAATTACATTTTAAGAAATGGTTAAAAAAGTTATTTTTATGTTCATATTATCCACTGTTTGAAGGTGTCATTTATTTATTTGTAGTTTATTTAATGACGCTTTTTCAGTAGCTCAGGCTATATAGCTTTGAACGAGAGGATGATAGTAAATAATGAATTGGAATGGATGTGAAAGGAAGTGGTTGTTGCCTAATTTAAGGTACTATCCCAGCATTTGCCTAGAGGGAGTAAAACCACAAAAACCCCTGTCAGGATAGCTGGTCTGCAGGTCGAGATTTGAACCCTGGAAAAGAGCCATTCATTAACCTGTGTTTCAAAGCACATTAGAAACTGTCTGTTCTACATACACTGCTGTTAAGACAAGATCCTGAAAATTCCTGAAATCACATACATAAGAAGAAGCATAAGAAATGAGTGTGTCACACTTATTTCAACTTATTTTGAAAGGTTTGAATGCATCAGTGAATTTTTATTATCTGTCATTATTTTCAGGCTAACGGTTTGTCTTAAATACTTCTGGCTTGGTTTTCAGGTGAACATGGTACCAAGAGATCACCATGGTTTTGTTTCACTCCTAGATTTTGGTGCTCTAAGAAATCTGCTCCACGAGTAAGTTGACAATACAATTTTATAGTCTGTATGAATTCATAGTAACTGATGCTAAATAAAGTGTTATAGTTACAATTATTTACAATTGTTTTTTCATTAATATTTATATGGTATCATTTTTAACAAAATTACTTTATTTTACCTAACTTGTCGGGCACCATAAACTCCAGATCAGAAGGATCAGTGCTTTTAAGTGAAATGTCTCACGCTTAGCATGGTAAGAGTTAACAGAACTAAGGAATTTCACCAACATGCTCCAGACTTGTGGAATTAAAATTTCATAAGGATATTTTGATGGCCATTGTATTTTAGTGTTTCTAAGTGGAAATATTTCTGACTAAAACCTTTTCTTCTTACAACCGGTAGTGTTTACAGGCTTATACAAGTATTGGTCAGTTTGTAAGCAGAAGAACAATTTGAA